GAGGACATAGAAATATATTGAGGGTATGAGTTTGTGAGATGTCGTTGGACAGAGTTGTATGAAAAATATAAAGACAAGGAAAATGTTTTCTTTATAGTGGACCCGCCGTTCTATAACACATGGGATTTTCAATACCAAGTAGACTGGACTTTGAGAGACTCTTTAGAAACTTTAGACGTTATACATAACTCCATGCTTTTACTTTACATCCGATAAAAGTGGTTTGGAAACCGTTATGAAATGGTTAGAGGAATACATGACTATGAGTTTAGATATGACAAGATAGAATATGAGAGAGGTCCTATAAACTGGAGAAAGTGTCATAACAAAGAAATTTTATTAGTAAGTAAATGTGGTTTGAAATAGGCTACTTGTTTTAGGTTTTTTCCATTGTGTCATTTATTTATTTGACGTGGCAGAAAAGTACAGAGAATATGAAGATGAACCAATGCCTGCAAATGTTCAGCATATGTACTCGTAAGAGATATTTTTATCTAATATTAAATGGACGCACAGAACTTAGCGAATGCACAGCAACCTGGACAACCAAACCCAGAGAATTCCAAATGAAGTTAGAATACAAACTGCAATGGCAAACTATGGTCAAGTGCCAACAGATGTACAAATGCAAACTGCCTGTCAAATGACGCTGCGTTAGGTTTGCCACATGGTATGCAAATATGAGATGGAAAGAGTTTTATACAAACCCTGAAGTGGGATATAAACAACTTTATGCAGATGACGCGAACACAGGAGTTGACCCAGAATATGTTTTCTACCAGAGGAGAAAACAGAATGTATGAGCTCCAGTTAAAGAATGCTATGGAACTCAACAGGAAACGTAAGAGACTAGGCGGACATTAGATTTTTACATATAGTAAAATGGGTTTCTTCAGTAGTATTGGAAACTTCTTTCGAAATGTTGGAAGAGGTATATGGAATGGAATAAAAACCGTAGGAAGAGGAATTTGGAACGGAGTCAAAAATATTGGTAAAAGAGTAGGTCAGTTCGTTGGTATTATACCTAAAGACCCTGAACCAGAAGAACAAGCTCCTGTTATACAACAGCCTGAACCTGCCCACAGTCTAGTTGGCAACCAAATCCAACACCTCAACCGTATTAAAAAGTTATATTTTTACCGTTCGATAGTAGTTGTATATGAAACTAAGTTCTAAGTAAAACGCATGGTATAATGGAATTATTCTTTTTCTTCCATCTGTAGTAACCATACTTGAAAGTCTGAAATACTTCCACTTGGTGGTTCGTATAACTTTGTAGGTTTTTCGTAAAAGTCATTTGCCAAGCATAAGAAAGAGTTTTGGGCGCCAGAAAATGAAGCATGAACAATAATAGCAGCTGGGTCGAAAACATTTTCATATGTTCCATTAGGGTTTTCGACTTCATAAAAGTCTGGGTGTACTGGATATGCTGCAGGCTGATTTAACATCCTCATAAATCTATACCATGCCAAGTTGTTATATTTTGTAGAAATATAAACGTTTTCTCCAAGGTCTTCTATTCTATTGATTTTAACAGTTGCATTTTTCCTGTCATAAATAATATCGAGATGGTACTCTCCCTCGTCAATGTTATACTGGTTTGCATATTCGATATAGATATCGTTTATTTTTTTTCTTGAAAAGCTTGAAGAGTTGTTTCTAAGTTTACAAGCAAACTAACTTGTAAAAGTTTTCCCTGTTCAAATTTCTCATACATACGTTTTTCTTTGTTATAGTATCGAACTTCAAAACCGACCGTAAATGGGAAACCATGTATGGCTTCTGAAATGAACTTCATTCTACGAAAGCCAATAGCTTTTGTGACGGATGGGTCTCTTAGCCATCTTAATGGGTAGTCAAAACGATAGCTTCATGCTTTACGGTCTCTGTCTCAAACTTTTGACCGACATTAGTAAAAAGTTCATCTAATGGTTTAGTTGTAGCAACTCTTGAATTTTCTTTTTCTATTGAAAGCATATTTTATCTAGAATAAAAATGTCAAATGAAACAGCGTCTATGAGAGAAATACAACACAACCGACAACTCATTATGCAAGCTCTAAATAAGAACAACAACAAACTTTTCAAACTACTCTAAGATATCTGAGTCATTGAAAGAAGGAAATTAAAACTGACATTAAACCCAATGACAGATGAGTTTCTATTTCAAGACAAGAACAATACTGTCTGTATAAATCCAACAAAAGGAACTTTAAACGAGAAACCTATAAATGAACTTCTTTTGAAAGCAGATGTTGACAACAAAGCTGACAAAGAATATGTAGACGATGCAATAGCAAAAGAAGAAGAAAGAGCTAACAATGCTTATGCAACAAAAGAACATACTCATCCTGAACTAGCAGACAAAAAATATGTTGACAATAAAATGTCAAGTGAAGTGACAAGAGCTGAAAACGAATATTCTAAAAAGACTCATACACATTCTATATCTGAAATAACAGACTTAAACGTTAGCCTTGAAAAGAAAGCGGATAAGGAATATGTGGCTAGTGCGTTAGAGAAGAAAGCAAATAAGACTCATACACATACAAGTTTTACAACTGTTGCTATAGAAAGTATTGAAGGAACGGTTGAAGAAACTGGTGGGGATGCATTATATTGTAAACCTCCTAACTTTCCACAAGGTTTAACATCGGATGACGACATAACGACGATGAGAAACATTAGATGTAAAGATGTTTATGTCATGAAGGATGAACATAATATTAAATTCACTGCTCAAGATTTATATGACAAGAAAGCAGACAAAACAGAGCTTCAAACATTAAAGACAGAAATACTTCAAACATTATATCCTATAGGCTCTATTTATACGTCAATGAACTCTACCAGACCAGAAACAGTTCTGGGTTTTGGAACTTGGACTCAAATAGTCGACAGGTTTTTGTATTGTGCAAACTCTTCAAAGGAAACAGGTGGAAGTAAAACGATTTCAGGTGAAAATTTACCTGCACACAGTCACTACATAGATTTAAGTACATCTCAAGCAGGTTGGCATAAGCATAGATATTGGGATTGGTCAGCAATGACAAAAGGTAAAGGATATGATGTTAAAGACAACGTTAAGTTTGCTATAAATTGTTACTGGAGTAACACTGAGGGAGGAGGAAACCATACACATCGCGTTTCAGGATATACGCAAACAACGGGACAAAGTAAAGACTACATGCCACCTTACATGACAGTTTACGCATGGTATAGAAATGCTTAGTCGTCATTTTCAACTTCTTTAGCATATTCGTCAGGAGTTGTCTTATATTTGTTAGGAACTGTCTTTGAAAGTATACCACCTTGAACTTTGACAAGTTTGAAACGAGGTCTGACAATAGTAGTTTTATCTTCTGCTTGCAGTGTGTACATTTTGCCATGTTTGCCTAAAACTTCATAATATTCTCTTGTATACTTTCTTCTATTTTTACGAACACGAATGTGAGTACCTGTCGGGTTCCCATTGTTGTCATAGTCAATAGTATTTTCATATGGGTCGCGTTTAGGTATTTCTATTTTACTTTGTCACCTTTCTGAAGTTTGAAGCCCGGCATTCTTTCTTGTTTGTCTCTTTTGACTAAATTATTAAATATATAGTCTTTCTCTAAGTCAGGGTTGTTTTTCATTTCTTCGGGGGAGTGGTTTCCCAAACCTTTTTGTTTACGGCTATTGTAAATATTTAAAAACTTGTCTCATCTTTGCCATGGAGAAGTGTCTATATTTGTCGTCATATGAATTTCATTTGCTTCACCACCTTGTGGTTGGTTTAGGTCTCTTAACATTTTTATACAACCGTCAATGACACCAAGAGCAGAATGGTTTTGGTCGACAATGAAATATTGGTTTACATTTTTTGACGCAGATAGTTTTTAATATCATCTGATTTGAAAGAACTTTCACAGTCATGTCAGTTTTGTTGGATGGTATTTGTCAACGAATATTGTCAAGCAGTTTTCACATCTAAAATATTTTTGGACCATAATGGTATGGCTTCACAGTATCTTGTGTTTTGACCGACAAAATATTAGCCAGTATGGTGGTCCATCTGTTCTAACTCTCGAATGTTTTCCAAGATATCCATAAACCAAGCATTTGGTGTTGAACTAAAAGATTTTTACCATGAGTGCTTTCTTTGTCGCTTTAGAAACAATAGGGGTCCTTGTTTGGATTCGTCATTTTTTATCCTATAAGAAATGGGTTTATTTGGCGCATTAGCAGGAGTTGCATCAGATTTTTGCCCGCAGTGGGAACAATAGCAGAGGTGTATTTGGAGTTGGAAGGAAGATTTTGAGTACATTAGGTATACTTAAGAGAGCACAACCTATTATACAAACTGTACAGAAAGGTTGGGATGTAGCACGAGATGCAACAAATCTTATTCCAAATCCTGAAACAAGAGGAAAAGTTCAAGGATGGATGGACAATGTAGGAAGACAAGCAGGAAACTATTATAACAAAGCAAATGACTACTATAACCAAGCAGGACACTATATGGACCAAGGTGAAAGATTCTTTAACAGAGGATATAACCATGCACAACAGTGGGTAAACAATAACCAACCTCAACCGCCTCAAACGTGGGGAATGTAAAGTTTTTTACTGAGATGAAATGAACAATACAGCATTGAGACAAATGGGTTCAAGATGGATTTGTCGGCTTCCAGCAGTTACACAACGTGTTTGTCAAGTTCTTCCTATACCTCAGGAAGTTTTAGACCGACTTAAAAAACAAACAACCAGTTGAAAACAAACCAAACTAAAATTTTTTACTGAGATGAAATGACCGAAGAAGTTGAAACGGTAGATTTGACACCACAAACAAAAAGTTCAGAACCATTGTCAAAACCTGTCAAAGAACTTACAGATGAAGAGAAAAATTCAATAATAGAAAGTGCCAGGTCTGGAAATACAAACCCTAACTACAAAGTCACTTTTCATAAAAATGGAACGGCAAGTATCTCAAAAAAGAAACAGACTCTCACAAATAAAATATTGAAGTCTGAAGGAGCTTTCGAGACAACAGATGGAAAAGTTTACTTCACTGACCAACAGTTCATTATAGAACATCTCATTGACTTAGAGTCGAAATATTCTAAACTTTACAACAAACACAAAAAGTTGAAAGGAAAACAAAAACAAATGGCATATGATATTTATGAAGATGTTGACGACACAACTGTTCCTGCAAGTGAAGTAAAGTCAGAGGAACCGAAAAGTGACGAAAAACCGATAGAAGAAGAAAAACCAAAAACTGAAGATAAACCAAAACCAAAGTTTAGTTTGGAAACTAAACCAAGTCAACCTTCATTAGCTGGTATGGGTTGGCGTCAAAGACTTATGGCAGCAGGCGGTTATGTAAAGTAAAGAAAAAAATATTTTTTTATTTTTATAAAAATGCCCCCATATAGAATGGATAGAAAATCTGCTAGAATAAAAGCAGAGTTGCAAAGATATGGTTGGAGAGTTTCGAAGAATTTTAAATATAGGAAGGGAAGACCCATAAAAGTCTATGACAAACTGGCTGGTCTTCGCTACGAAATGGATTTGGAAACAGCACGTGCAAATTATCCAAACAGACTAGAGAGGTTAGAAGAAGAACGTCTTATGGACATGCCTTTCGATGTTAGTGAACCTCAAGTTGAAGGACACGACGGCTTTGCCAGATTCTACTGGAAACATGACGAACAATTGCATCCTTTGAGAAGGAAAAAAGGTAGTGCAGAGGATGGTCATGCTCCCATGGAAAGAACAAGATATGCATATGAAAAGTATCGTGAAGTTAGAAGTCAAATTACATCTGGTCGAACCTTTACAGTAAACTTTGACGAAGGAAAGAACAAAGAAGGCTTCATGGGTGTACTTGCTGCAATTCAAGACGGAAATAAGAAAGGACACAATCTCAGATTGACCATAACGGATTTGGATGGTCACATTTACTATGCAAATGGCAATGAACAAACAGCTGCAAAACTTCTTGACGCTTTCAAGACTACAAAGAGAGAACAAATGGTTGACTCCGACTCAGACATTTTGAATGCAATTGAAGGAATTGCAAGTGTCAAGTTCGAATGGTACCAACCTAACCCTCAAGCAGTCAGACAACATGCTGGATACTTCCCGTTCATAAATAAGTCTGACATTGACTTGACAAGGTATGGAATTTACAATTCAATTGAAACAATTGTCAATGAACCTTGTATTCTTACATGTCTCAGGAACTCTGGTCTTGTTACAGATGAGAAGATGAAGTATCTTGAGTCATGTGTGAAGACAAGGTACATTCTCAGAGGTCAATTGGCAAAAATTGCACCGTTGGCAAATGTCAATATCCGAGTCAACATACCTACAGCTAAAGGTTCTTCACATGACGACTATGTTGTTGAGTTCAATTTACCATGGTTGAAGATTGTAATTGTCCACAACCACTTCATGTTGAACGAAAGTCTTACAAACCCATTGTTCGGAAAAGGCAAGTGCAACATTGTCAGAGCTGTAAACATTCTTTTCGAGAAAGGTTTGTTGGAACCAATTCCAGATGACAAGCTGACAGAAACTTTTGTACCAAAAGACGAAACAAACTTTTCACTGTTAGCAAGACCAAAAGTTGTTCCAGACAAAGTTCTAGTACAAAAGAAGTACACAATTCCACAAGGAGTTGGATTGTTCGGATACCAACCTGAACCAGAAGAACTTCCAATGAGGTTGCAAGAACTTCAAGATGCTATAAACAAACTTCCATTGAGACATCCAATTGACGTCAAATTGTATTGGAGAGCATCTGAGTTAGGTCAGAAGGTTTTATATGAAACAGGTTGCTTCGACGATGTTTATGAGATAACAGGAGAAGTTTCTCAGAAGATAAGAGACTCACTTGAATTTCCACAAACTGGACCAATTGGTTGCGACAAGTTCGACTCAAACGAAAAGATATACTATGTCGACCTTAACGCTGCATACATGAGGTTTGTCCAATATATTCCGACTGGAATTCCAAACGAAGATGGTGAGTTCCCGGGAAGGAACTATACAGTTGGAAAAGTCATACAACAACTGTATGATATTAGGAAAGCTTCAAACCCCAAACTTGCAATGACACTCAAATTGCTTATGAATTCGACATGGGGATATTCCATTAAGAAACCTCAAGAGATGAAGAGTAAACATTATGAGAAGGTCGACAACTTTGTTGAAAGGTTTTCTCCTTTTGTTTTGAAGTACGAATTCACTCAAGGTCAAAGTGGCTTAGTAACCACATTAAAACCTATTGTCGAACATTGGTCTTACCCTCAGTTCGCAAAGGCAGTCCTTGACAACTACAACAAATTCTTCTCCGAAGTCAAATCCAAAGTGAAGGTTTACTATGAGAACATTGACGCACTCATGACGAACGAAGAAGGATACAACAAACTCATTGAAATGGGAATGGTCAGTGAAAAGATGGGCTGTTTTAAGCTAGATAAGGTATTTTCTGAAGTTCATGTCCTCTCCAAGCGTAAGTACTGGGGCATACTTGAAGACGGCACAGAAATAAAACATTGCATGAAGTAAAAATTTATTTTTAAAAAAGTGACATTTTTTAATTTTATTTGAAATGTACGCTGAGTTTGTTGGAGAAGACCGTTGGGAAACTTGTTTGTTAGATGAGAAATATGAAATGGCATACTATTTTAAAACAATATATTTTTACATATATTAAATGCTTCAGGTTGAAAAACAAAGAACAAAAGTAGCAGATACAAAACCGTTAGACTATATCTTTACAAATGCTGGTAGGACTATTTCAGATGAAGAAATTTCATCCCGAATATACAGGTTTGACTATCCAATTCGTTGGCTTCAAAGTCCTTCAGATGCAAAGGCAATAGGATTTAGAAGAGTTTTGTTTTCAAATAGAACTAACGCATTTATGTTCGCAGTATATTTTCATGGGCAGTATAAAGGTTCTGGTGGTCTAATAGACAAATTTGACGAAATGAGATCTTTACAGTTCGTTCAGACGAAAGTCTTGAGAAAACTCTAAATGACTTTCAAACTCAAATGAACAAATATTATTGGGAATTTCAAGAAAAATACGACTCTTTACTAAATGGAACATACTATCTGAAACTAGAATATGACAAGATGAACTCCACCGTTTCATTTCAAAAGATTGAAATTAACCCTCCAAGAGATACAGAGTTTTTATTTTGGAAAGTAGACAAACGTTCTTGGGCACAATTTCTTCGGTTACTAAACCAGAACGAACCATTACCACCAGATGGTCCATTTAAATTTATACTTCCACCAGCAGATTTGACAGTTTATAGAAACGTGTTTGACCCTCAAAATGTTATGTGTCATGCAAGTTTCAGTTCAAGCAACAATAGTTTTCTATGTATTGGTAAGGACTTTTATGACTTTGCTTCTAAATTCTACGAACCACCTAGTAACAGTTTCTCTGACTTTCAAGTTTGGTTCACAACAAATGGTGTGCAACATATTATTCCATTGTACTATGACTTTTATCTCGAATTGTCTTTCATATATAACTACGGAAAAGTGCTGAAAAAGTATTGAAAAATAATGTTTATGTTAGCATGTTAGATCTAACACGTTTTCTAACAACTTTTCTAACATCGTAGAAAACTCATGAAAACAATTTATTTTTGACACTTTCACAAAAAACATAAAAAAGTGAGTTAAAATGAGATGTTTACTGAACTGGTTGGATGTCGCCTTCACAGGTTATGTAGAATGGCTGACCCGAGAAGTGGAACAGTGCTCTGAGAATTTGTATAATTCGTGGAATTGGACTCTCTCTGTTTGGTATTTTTATCCAAGGACGCTTGGCAAAGAACTTGAGAAGAGCTTCTTTCTTTGCTTGCTTTATGTCGTCGAAAGGAGTGTTTTCTGGTATTTGAATTGGAATTCCAGTCGAAGTCTCGAGCTGAAGTGTAGACCTTCCAGAAATAGCGGTGAACTTGACCTTGGGCTTCATGACCTTGCGCAAGTAGTCTTTTACGCAGTTGTTAATTTCAATTAGGTAAACTGCCTCGTCAAATCCTTCTGGCATTCCGAGTCCTTCCATCCGACAGAAAAAATTTTTCCCGACAACAGGAAAAAATTTTCCCGACAACAGGAAAAAATTTTCCCGACAACTGGAAAAAAATTTCCTTCCGACAGGAAAAAATTTTCCAGTTGTCTGTCCGTAAACCATTCAAATTTTCGAAAATTGAGAACTTTTTGGTCGAACTTCAGGAAAAATTTTTCCTTCCGACAGAAAAAATTTTTCCTTCCGACAGAAAAAATTTTTCCGGACAACAGGAAAAGTTTTTCCGGACAACAGGAAAAATTTTTCCGGACAACAGGAAAAGTTTTTCCGGACAACAGGAAAAGTTTTTCCGGACAACAGGAAAAGTTTTTCCGGACAACAGGAAAAGTTTTTCCTTCCGACAGGAAAGGTTTTTCCTTCCGACAGGACACAAACGAATGTCCCACGTCCCACCAACCCAGTCCATTCCCAAACCAGAGGAACCTAAAGCACCAGCCCCTGCACCTCAGTTCCAGCAAGTACCTCCGATTTACTACCAATTTCCACCTCAAGGTTACTACCCACCACAAGGCTTCCCGAACTACCCTCCTCAGCCTATGCCTTACTGCCCCAACCCTTGGATGTTCCAGCAAGCTCCACCCCAGCAATTCCAATCTCAATCCAAATCGAAGAGAGACCAAGAGTTCGAAGAAGGTCTGAACCGTTTACGCAAAGATTATGCCACAGCCCCTATTGAGAGAAAGTTGTTCCCGGACCAAAAAATATAATTTAGGGTAGAAGGTTAGATCTCACCTGTTTTCTCACCTCTTTTTTCACCCTCATGAATTTTCATGACTTCTTCGTAAATGTTTTGTCAAGACTTCTTCGTAAATGTTTTGTCAAGACTTCTTCGTAAATGTTTTGTCATGACTTCTTCGTAATGAGTGTAAAGGACCCAAAAATAAAGTTTATGTTAGAATGTTAGATCTAACACGTTTTCTAACACGTTTTCTAACACGTTTTCTAACCTCATGAATTTTCATGAATTTTCATGAATTTCCTTAAGATAGAAAAAATAAAGTTAGTTTTATTTTTTTATTTTGTATAAAAGATATGATTTCAGGGATTTTTTTGACGAAGTGTCAATCTTCACTTCGTCAAAAAATAACAGTTATCTAATGAAAAAGTGTCATTTTTTGTATTTTTTTGTATAAAAGATATGATTTCAGGGATTTTTTTGACGAAGTGTCAATCTTCACTTCGTCAAAAAATAACAGTTATCTAATGAAAAAGTGTCATTTTTTTCATTTTTTTGTATAAAAGATATGATTTCAGGGATTTTTTTGACGAAGTGTCAATCTTCACTTCGTCAAAAAATAACAGTTATCTAATGAAAAAGTGTCATTTTTTTGTATTTTTTTGTATTTGACGAGAATGTCGGGTAGAATGTTAGATCTCACCTGTTTTTTCACCTCTTGAATTTGTCAAGACTTCTTCGTAAATGTTTTGTCAAAACTTCTTCGTAAATGTTTTGTCGAAACTTCTTCGTAAATGTTTTGTCAAAACTTCTTCGTAAATGTTTTGTCAAGACTTCTTCGTACATGTTTTGTCGAAACTTCTTCGTAATGAGCGTAAATCAGACAAAAATAAAGTTTATGTTAGCATGTTAGATCTAACACGTTTTCTAACACGTTTTCTAACCTCTTGAATTTTCATGAATTTTCCCGAAATAAAAAAATAAAGTTAGTTTTATTTTTTTTTTATTTTTTTATTTTGTATAAAAGACATGATTTCAACAATAGGTTCTACAACACTTCAAACAACAGCACCAAACTCGTTAGTCATGAATCCTACGTCAATGTTAGTAGAGATGAAAAGCTTCATTCCTTCTTCATATACTTTTGAAACAGAAATCCAGAAGATAAAGCAGGAACTTTTAACATGTAATTTAGACTGTAGTGCGAAAGATGAAACAAATGAACAGTATCTTTATGAAATGGAGGACATTATTGACCATTTGCCTAAACTACCTGAAATTCAGCAACAAAAACTAACCATTCCTGAATTCGACGAAATTGAAGTCAAAGCAACTGACTCAGTAGAAATAAAGAAGTTCATACGAAAGGTAAACTATGAGTTTCTAGGATTTCATTGCAACCATAAGGTTATGGACAAAGATTGCGACATGGTATATAAGAATGTTTCTGACATATATAAATCTGAAGAATTTAAGACCTACGACAACTTTGTTTCGTTAGTTGCTGAATGTGTTTGGCAGATAAGAGATAAAGATAGAAGATGTAAAGTATGGAACAAACAAATAAGACCCGCTATGTTTGAGATGAAGAGAGCAATTGACGCCTTGGTTGTTTTAGCAGGTAAGGTTTCAGAATATAACGCAAAAATGAACCCGCAATGTTCAAAATGTAAGGCAGCAATTAGGAAATATAACTACTCCGTCAAAGAGATAGAACGTATGAGAAACGACTATGCTGACTTAAAGAAAGAAGCAGAAAAGCCAGCAGACGATAAAATGGACATGTTGACATTTCTGAACAAAAACTATCCAACTGCTGACGATTTCCTTCTATCTGACGTCAAGAAGAAGTATAAAGAGACTTTCGGCATAGTTAAAACATTCGATATCCTCAGCGAAGAAATAGAAGCTACAAAACTGTTTAGAGTCATGAACCATCGCAACATATACCATGTAAAACGCTTGTAAATAGTTATGTTAGAAAACAGGTGAGAAAACGTGTTAGATCTAACATGCTAACATAAACTTTATTTTTGCTGAATTCCGTATGAAAATTCATGAGTTTTGTGTGTTTTAGACCATGTTAGAAAACGTGTTAGAAAACGTGTTAGATCTAACATGCTAACATAAAATATATTTTTGGTCATTTACAATGAAGTCTTGACAAAACATGGAATCTCTTCCCTCGGAAAACCGAGAGAAGCAATCATATGACAAAGTCTTGACAAAACATGTACGATGAAATCATGAAAATTCATGAGTTTTGTGTGTTTTAGACCATGTTAGAAAACGTGTTAGAAAACGTGTTAGATCTAACATGCTAACATAAACATTATTTTTACTGAAAAATGACCAAAAATCTGAGTAAAATGGCATATGCTTGCTTCCCTCGGAAAACTGAGAGAAGAGATTCCGTACGAAAACAGTGAAGAACAGCGAGTAGGTAAGAAACCTTAGTCGCCAAAACTCTATGAAAACAGTGAAGAACAGCGAGACCGACTTCCTTCGGGGTCGCCTAAAACTCTATGAAAACAGTGAAGAACAGCGAGTAGGTAAGAAACCTTAGTCGCCTAAAACTCATGAAAACAGTGAATTTCCTTAAGATAGAAAAAATAAAGTTAGTTTTATTTTTATTTATTTTTTTATTTTGTATGTAAGGACAGATATGTCAACATCAGAGAACACAACAACTGCTATCGTTCATGAAGCCATAAATGAAGAATATGAGTGGGTTCAGTTTAACAAACAACTCCGTCTCATTCGTTCGGTCAAAGACGATATGTACCAAATGCAAAGTATTTTGACAGCATGTTTTGCTCCAGACACTAAACACGCAGACGACTGGTTCAAAAACCAAAGCACACAAGAACTTTTGAGTGAAATTTCTCTAGACCGACTTTTTTCGGTCTTGCATAAAACACATGAAAATCGTAAAAATTTGCCAATAAATTTAAGAGGATATTATGTACATAGACTTTTAGTAAATGCAGTTGCAATGTGGGCTTCTCCTCGTTATGCATGGCATGTTTACAGACTTCTTGACGAAATTCATAGACAAGAACGTGAAGAGATGGAAAAGAAACTTCAAGCAAAAGATGAAGTCATTGAAGCAAAAGACAAAAGCATTCAGAAAAGAATACCACGTTCGGTACCAAAAGGTAAGGAAAAGAACTATAAGTATATGATTTATACTGAAGATATGGAGAAAGAAGAAGACAGTGACATGGTTATGTTGCATTTAGTCAGAAGAAACAACAAAAGCTTTTACGACCTTGCTAAGATTTACAAATCTGACAGAAATTGGTTCTATCGCGAAAACTTACCGATTTCAATGACTCCAAATGAAGATGTGAAACAAATAGTTCAAGATACGTTACCTCAAACACAATATGATATTAAAGGTTGTACAATTCTTACATTCAAAGAAGATTTGTCATTGTTAAAGGAAAAAATAACAGAGTATTTTGACAACTTCAAACAAGCAGAGTAAATGAACTCTTTATTTTTCAAGCTTGACTTTTTACAATTTGAACTTTGTTTGCGTAGATATGAATTCTGAAAGAAGTATGAGGGTCTTGTATGACTTTGTACTTCTCCCATAGTTCATGTCTGTCAAACTTACCTGCCATGGACTCTTTCATAAGTTCCATGAAATCGTCTTCGGACAATCCGGGGAAAAGTATAATGTCAGTAAGTATTCTTTTAACATCCTTACTTAAACTCTTTGCTGTCTGTACACAAATGACAACTGAGATGTTAAAGTGTCTGAGCTTCTTAAGAATTCGACACATGTCTTGTTCTCTATTCTTTAACAAAGGATGAGAGGCGAAATCATCTAAGATAAGAAGACACCTATGAGGGTATGTCTTCCAATCGTAAGATTGCAATTTCTTCGAAATGTATTCTATCTCTTTCTGTTTGTTTCTGAAGTGTTTCTTCTCTAATATTCTCTGCATTTCCTCATTTGGGTCTTTAAACTTAGAATTTATATACTCATTTATAGCATTATACTTCAAAACTCTTCTTTGGTACTTCTTTATCCAATCTAACAACTCAGTATCCTTTATACATACTAACTTAGACTTCTTTATAATATCTTTGAACGAATTGACGGTTTGGTCAAATTGACCAGAAGTACTACAAATAACAACTAACTCATAAAATGGGTTCTTCTCATCTAGTTCTTGTTGTTGTGCAGCCATTTTAAGATAAGTGAAAGTCTTACCCGACCCAGGTGGTGCAATTAGACCTGTTATACCATTCTGAGCAAATAAGAACTTGTCATGTATAGGCTTTATCTGAGCATTTTCTAACTTCCTCTTGTTCTTGTTTAAAACATTCTCAAATTTCTTGTCAATGTCAGCAAACTTTTTTTCTAACATATTTTTAGAAAAATTAAAATTTTTATCTTTTAGAAAATGTCTAGCGATTTCGCTATCTATATTCGAGACAAGCTTTTCGACAGCAAAACATCTGTCGACCATAAAATCTTACATAGTGTAAACAAGAAAGGGGAATTTGTTCTAAAGTTCTGTTTTTGGGAATATGACAAGAACCATAAAACATTAAGCAGAGCAGTCTTAAAATTTGTCAATGACAGACTTGTTGACAGAGATGACGCCGATTGGAAAGATGAAGTCCAACAAAAGTTCTTAAAATGCAAAGAAGACACATGCGCTGTTCTTGAAGATGAAATAGAAAACAGAATAGATGAGCTATTAAAGGACAAAGAACTTTTACATAAATATAGTTGCGCCAAATTTGACATAACTCCACCAGAAAAGAAGAAGAAAGAAAAGAAAGAGAAAAAAGAAGAAGAGAAGAAAGAACCTGAACCAGTTCCAGAGAAAAAGAAATTTGACATGTAAAAATAAAATTTTATTTTTAGAACATTTCTGGGTCAATGTCAATGTTCTCTTCCTCTTTAGGAGTAAACACTGGCTTAGACTCTAAAATCTTTTTACCCAATTTACCTTGAACTTCTACAACTTTAGACTCATAATATTCATAGTCGTCTGCTTTCTTTGGTTCATAAGGTATAACAAGTTTGTATGCTTTGCCTTCTTTAAGGTTTGAGAACCTTCTGTCAAAACTTTCTTTGACTGCTAACAAACCTTCTATGTCTAAGTCTTCAAATTTCGCACCATTTTTAGTCACAATAGCAAACTTAACTGGTTCGATGTTCCAAACTTTGCTGAATGAAGACTTTTCAAAATGGTAGAAGTAAACATTCAAATATGTGAATGGGTCTAGTTCTTCTTTAAGTCCTGACATGTACTTGTTTACTGAGATGAATTTTGCCATCTTTTTCTATCGGATAAAAAAATATTTTTTTTTAAAATTTACTCAGAAAAATTATTTCTTTCTATATTTGCCATTCCGAACTTCGAAAAGATGTTTTATACCAGCATAGAATTTTTCTCTAGAGCTTGGTCTTATATCGTTTTCATGACAATATTTTCTATATTCTTCATATAAAGCCTTTTTTTCATACATTTCATAAGGACAATCTAACCAGAATAGCGCATATCCATTTTCGTTATCTAGGTCTCTATATGTTTCTTCTGTTTGTAGAATTTCGCTTTCTTCTGTTTGTAGAATTTCGCTTTCTTCTGTTTGTAGAATTTCGCTTTCTCTATTTAGTTCTATGTCTATATATTGTGGCTTAAAAAGATGTGGGCAAGAAGGGTCTGGCGCTATGTAAAAAGTTAATTTTTCTGTCATCTTTTCTATCGGATAAAAAAATATTTTTTTTAAAATTTACTCATAAAAATTTTTCTTTGTATATACACCTTTCTGTACGTCTAAAAGACTTTTGACATTTGCCAAGAATGTTCGTTTAGAAGCTGTCATATAACCATATTCTTGACAATATTGTTTATACGAATCGTACAATGACCTTTCATCTAAACACTCAAAGTCAGTTTCATCTATGAACAGTTCATATACACTCTTGTTTGCTTCTAACAATGTTTGTCTCTCTTCGGTATGTGGAATTTGTCTTGGATTGAACTTAGAAATATCTAATGTCATAAAGTATGAGAACAAGTGGTTGTAAAAGTCAGATGTCAAAGTTTCTGCTAAGTCGTCAAAATATTCTGTATCTTGCATATGAGAATCTGACGTTCTGACAACTACATATCTTCTGTCAGAACTTTCTAACTTCATCGGAACAGCATTGTTTGAAACCATAATGAAGTTTGCAACATTTTCACAAACTCTTTGGTCTTTATATTTTCTTTCAACAACTCCAACTTTGTCTGTTATAAGACTCTTCAAAGCATCTGAGTTCAAAACTTTTGTTGTATCTATACTTTGAAGTTCATTGCAAACTATAAGTTTCATATTCTCTATTGAAGAGTTAAATTTACCGCAGATGTTTTCTAAGTTTGTCATATTAGGGTTCGAATAGCCCTCTAATAGTTTGCATAAGATATCTGTAAAGAATGTGTTCTTACCTGTTCCTTGTTTTCCAATTATAATGAGAGCAGTTTCATTTTTAGCACTTGGATGTTGTAAGATGTTTGCAAACCAACATAAGATATACTCATAGACTCTTTCGTTTCCATTGCATATAATTTCTTTGACATGGTCTAACCAAGCTTCTATAATATTTTCTTTCCATTCTACTTGTTCGTATTTATATCCAGTGAAGATAGAATAGAAGTTTGGAGAAGGTGTATAGAACTTTATACCTCGAACTGAAAAATCTTCTAACTTTGACAATAAGATATCCCAAGCATCTAACATCTTCATGCCAACTTGTACGACTTTTATTTTCTTAAGTTTCTGTCTACATTCTTGTTCTGAAACTATTGTCGCTTTAGGTTTGTTAAAGACTACATCCCATTCTTTCATAACATAACATGCTGGGGCAGAGTCGACATAAATGACTAAACGTTTCAAATTCTCGACTGCTTTGTTATAGTCTCGAAATGGACACATATTTCTGAATGCTTGGAAGTCATAAAAATCTGAAACATCTATTCTGTACATTTTTATAAAAATAAAAAAAATATTTTTTTTTATTCTTGACTTTGTTGTTGCATTTGTTGTTCTTGAGCTATTTGTTGTTGAAGTTGTTCTTGTAATACAATACTTTCACCAGTTGCATCTTCCAATTCGAAACTTTCTGCCGTCATTGACAAATACATAGGACATAAAAGTTTTACAGGAACAAAGTTTGCGTCAACTAATGTCAACGTTATACTTGCCAAAGTGTTTGAGTTCACTAAGGTTGAAAATTCTGCATTCGAATGAACAATAGGCAAACCAGCAGAGAAAGTATTGTTTATACGCATAAGTATCTTTTGGTCATAATAGTTTCTGTCGACATTCGAATAACACTTTGAACCTAAGTTTGAAACAAATATATAAGATTGGTGTGCTTAATGTCAATGGAATAGACATTCCTTGTATGACACCTTTTCCTGTTATAGGAAACTGTTGGTAGTAAAAACCAGAAATAAGTTTTGTATTATAGCTCAATCGTTTATAGTAAACTCAGTCGGACATCCAAACATAATGAAACCTGCTCTAGTTGCAGCACATGTTACACCCGTACTTAAAGTATTAAATAAGTCAACAAAACCTGTTGGTGGTATATCTGAGTAAGTATCTTCAAAGGAGTATTTTTTACCATTCACAACAATAAAGTCTTCTGGTGTCAAAAGCAAAACAGGCTTTAGTCGTCATTGTGTTTAAAGTTAGTTTACAATACCGTCCTTGAGGACTTTGTAAGTTTGTTGTTATAGAATTATATGACTCAGGGTTTTTAGTCGTAATAGTATAAACCATTATATCTTCTGCCATTTACTTAGCAAATAAATTTTAATGAAATGTTGTGGTCGTCAAATATTTTTATGACGTCTGGGAAACTATATTTTAAGTTCAACGTTTCACCTCCTTTCATAACGTATATCTTGTCAATGACATTATATGAAACACCACAGCAACTAATGTCGGGTTCTATTTCTTTGATGTTTATATCGTCTGCCTCTGTCAAAAGTTTCAATAGTTCTTTCAAAACTTCATGAGGTGCAATGACATATGAGTTCACTTTTACAGGGTTGTGTTCGACCAAGTTTAACATTATACTTAAAGCTTGACAAATCTTCTCCTGAGTTTGAAGTTTGGCTTTCAGTTGTTGGTAGTCGTTTCGAATATCTGCAACAGAACTTAAGTCTCTGCTAACTTCAGGATATGTTGGTTCTTTTACAGGAACAATTGTTATACCATCTTCGTCCTCGTATGGTTTCCCCACTTCAACATCTCTGTCTTTGACATTGACAATAACACTTTGACTGTTTGTTTGAGTTGGTGAATTTAACTTCACATCTGCCACCGCCATTAAACCTTTTGAAACACTTACGCTTCTATTTTTCGGAAATGACATTTTACTTAGAATAAAAAGATGGACGTATTCGAGTATCTCTTCGAATTGAAGCAGAACAAAGTTTACACACACAAACAATACAAATACATTGACAG